GTCGGGCTGCCCAGTTAGCATGTATGGGGATTCAGCAGATTGCCGAGGGCTCAGCCCCTTGACGAGTCAGTGTAAGTCCGTTGAAACAATCTATCGGCATCATTTCTTCCCCTTCTTTCTAAACTTAATACTGAAGTGTGTGGTGTGTTCTACGCCTTGCTCGTATTCCCTTCAATGCACTAGAAATCGTGGTCTGTGAATGCTTCCTCTTCTTGGTTGGCTTTGTGCAGGGAGACAGTTCTTTTTCGGGTTCCATAACAGTGTACCATCCAACCAACATGTTGTGATGCTATCGCGGAGGATTATTCTCCTCTTCCCCCCCTCCCCTCCCTCCCCCCCCCAACACACATACACATTCACATTGTTTGTTTGTCTGTCTGTCTGTACCCTCTCTGTTTTCTCTGTAATCTCTTCAATGTGCAAGGGGGGCACTCTTAACCAGTGCCAAATAGCCAGGGCCTGCTTGTTAGGATTGCGCAGCACCACTTTAAAGCGAGCTGCCGTATTCAGGATTCCTGTCTTTGTGTTTCCTCGTGCTGCAACACACTCCCGTCGTGGCTTCCTAGGTCTTCCTGATAGTGGCATAAAACTTGCAGCCTGCAGAGTTCTCCATATGTTGTCAATCGGTGATGGTCTGCTTTGATCCTTGCAGTTTCTGCCAGTTTCTTTTTTCTTTTTTTTTCTTTCTTTCTAATTTGGACCATTTCTCGATTTATGCGTGTCATCCTTGCGCAGGGGCCATGCTAATCTTCATTCTCTGTATCGTTCCAATTTTTACAGATGTCCCGAAGGACAGTTTCTCCCAGTTTCTATGTTGTTGTGGTTGTCCCGAAGGACTTCTTGCGCACCTCCTTCTGTTGCTGTGTGCCATGTTGGATGCCTCGCTGTATTGTTACGTGCCCGCCCCCTTGCATGCCTGCCCGCTGCCTCAAAATATGCTGCCTCGTCCATGCGATGCTGCGCGCCTTGCTCTGTTGCTGCCCCCCCCCCCCCCTCCCCCCTTCCTGCTTGCCTGCCTGCCCATTTGCTTCGCTATCGAGTTGTTTTGTCCATGATGCGAACCATGCCTTGTGGTATTTGCCCACTTACAAAAGAAGAGCTTGAAGCAGGTAGTCAGGTCCCCACTTGCAACAGCGATGGAAGCCTTGCGGTATTTTCCCGCTCGCAACAGGGCTTCCCAGCCTTGCTGAATTTGCCCGCTCGTAACAGGAATTGATGGGAATGATGTTTGGTGAACAGGACGGCGACGCGGGGATGTGGGGTGTGGGATGGTGGCGTGACGGGGTGGGGGTGGGATAGGGAGGACAGCACCCTAATTGTTTTGAAGCTCCCCGATAACTTGTGAGAGTAACTTTGTGATGACCTCGGAATTAGCCATAAGAGCAAATCTAACTTCCTATTCTGATTACCTCTCCCTTTCATGGTGCTGCGAACGATTTGTTAAGCGGGTGATGAAAGTTTCGGAGCGGGAATTCCGTTTTAACTACGATGAGTAGTTAATCCCCTCAGTCGAGGGCAATCATCAATGCTGCTCATCACATGATAGAGTGTGCCAGCGTGTTGTTTCGGTTGATCACGTATGCATTTTGTGGGGTGGACGTGGCACATTGATATGAAACTCGGGTTGTTTACGGAACACCTGGCTATAATTGTTGAGGGACGCTGGACCCAATTTCCAGCAGGTGCCACTCCCCACCAATCGATGGAGCCTCCCCGAGCATGCTAGTGGTGTCTGCTTTTATCAGCACCTCCAGCATTCACTTGGGTTGTTCTTCTAATAATAATAAAAAAAAAAAAAAAAAAAAAAAAACGGATCCTCAGGTTCCCACTCACAATCTGTACGGGGCTCGTATACCTTGGCGTATTTGCCCATGCACAACAAGGTTGATGCCTTGTCCGTGCAGCGGGCCTTGCATTAATGCACAGTGCGACCGATCGGGCTGAATAAGTTGGTGGTTCCGACTCCCGAGTAGGCCCTGCCCTGCATCTGTTCGACCGTCCAGGGTCAGCCAGAAGATACGGGTAGACAATCTTGTTTCATGGTTGGTGGTGGCTTGAACCACAAGTACACGGCCCCAGCCTTGCGGACATTTGTCTGTCGCCTACTCCGAAAATTTCACGGCTCGGGCCCACTAGACCACAATGGCTGGTGGCTCCAGCCAGAAATGAACAAAATGTGCCGCTGGCGGTTTGGAAAAGCTTGGTGCGCTGTGCAGCGCCTCCACGCCCCGGTGTACTGGTGGTTTAAACTGTCCTCGCCCCAATACGAAGCGGCACTGCATGGATTCTACCGGTAGCTATCATCCGACAGGCACAGCGACGAGTGTTACTTACATAACCTGTAGGATGAATGATAGCCAGAGTCCATGGCTGTAGCCCATCAGTCTATAATTATGTTGTCTTCACCTTCACTGCTCCGCGACGAACAGTTTCGCTTCCGAGTCGCAACCATTGAGCATCTGCTGGTCTTGCTTATATGGAAGCCAGGTTGCTGCTGAAAGGCAGGCGCTGTCTTCGGCGTCTTCAGCCCATGCAGTAGAGACTCTGGTGTATCTTCCCCTCTTTTCTTTTCTGCCTCCTCCCATCTTCCATCTCTTCTAATCTTTAAGAATGTTGTTTCCTCCTAATGAATTTCCCTCTAACATGCCGATACGGCGGTAATCAGTGAAAAGCATGTTTCAGAGCTAACCCATCGAAGCTCCCCACCAATAGACTGGAGCGCCCGGCGGCGGATAGGTACTAGGGGGGGATGCTCTTATCACCCTGTCTAGTACCATGAGCCCAGTTAAACAAAAAAAAAAAAAAAAAAAAAAAAGGCCAACCCATTATGTTGCTGGCCCCACATCATTCTCTTGTCCCCTGTATCCACTCACTCTCTGATAATCCGTTTTCTTTTTAATGGCTGAGACAAGCAATTTCAACTTACGCCACTACCTGCTTCCCCTGAACATAACGCATATGCGTTGTATTTGAGTTTTCAAATTTGAAAAAGAGTCGAATAGAATGCATACGTGTTGTATTCAAAATTTAGGGCTATTCGAATAGAAGATATGCGCTGTATTCGAATAGAACGCACCCTATGCGTTGCCAATTTGCAGAAATGCATCAAGCGGGCTGTCGCGTCGTGCGGGATGCACATGGGTGCCGTTTCGCTTGAAATCCATCCAGGCAAACCGGGCCTCGCATGCAACCTGTTTTACCTGGATGGATTTCCGGCGAAACAGAATTTTGGTGCATCCTGCCCGATGCGCCAGCATGCACGCGGCGTGCTTCTGCAAGATGGCTGAGAAACTTACTGGTGGTTTAATGTCCCTAAGCCTGCACTATGATTAAGTGAATGATTGGCTGTGCTGTCCGTAACTAGCTATACAGGCACCGCTTGCTATACAGTATAGTTCAATCACCCTTTGCTATACAGTATAGTTCAATCACCCTTTGCTATACAGTATAGTTCCATCAATCTTTGCTATACAGACGTGTTCAGACCTTGCTATTCAGTATACTTCAATCAACCTTTGCTATACTGTATAGTTCAATCAATCCTTGCTATACAGAGGTGTTAAAACCTTGCTATACAGTGTAGTTCAATCTTTGCTAAACAGTATTATATATAGTTCAATCCTTGCTATACGGTATAGTTCAATCCTTGAACCTTGCTATACGGTATAGTTCAATCCTTGAACCTTGCTATACAGTATAGTTCAATCCGTGAAACTTGCTATACGGTATGGTTAAATCCTTGCTATATGGTATGCTTCAATCGTTGCTATACAGTATAGTTCAATCCTTGCCATACAGTATATACTTCTGTATCAAGACATTTTTTCTGTGAATCTTGGAGTGTCATTCATTCACGATTGGTGAGATTATCCACTCCGGATGATCCAATGCATTGAAATCAAACCCATGGTTTTGGAATTCCCAATCAAAGAGGATGCCAGGAGTCTAAGGGCAAACCAGAAGCTTCTGAAATCCTCCTGGCAGAACGAGGTTTCTGTGTGGCAGAACTGAAGCATTTCTTCGCAATCAGTAGTGAAACTTCCCCATTTTTTTTGTTTTGTTTTTGAAGTTTTTCCCACTTGCTTGCCAGTCTGCGGTAGTAGTACCAAGGCTCCTAACCCCCAGCGAGGGATGGCAGGAGCAAAAATCGGCGAATCTCAGCTGGTAGTAGTAGCCCAGCGAGGGATGGCAGTAGCAAGGATCGGCGGATCTCAGCTGGCGGTACTAGCACCTAGGCTCCTACCCCCAGCGAGGGATGGCAGGAGCAAGCTTGGGGACATGATGTTTTTCGTTCCAATCTGTTGCCTATTTCTTGTCCCATATCTTGCTGTGCAATGCAAAATTGGGGTGTTTCGATATGCTGAAGCATTACACGCAACGCACGAGCCTCCTCCCCCCCCCATACACACACACACACACACACACATACACACACACACACACACACACACACACACAAACACACAAACACACAAACACACAAACACACATTCAAACACACACACACACACATTCAAACACACACACACAGACACAAGGACGGATCACAGAGTGACAGATGGATGGACGGATGGAACCACTGATCGAGCAACAGAAAGACAGAGACGCACACACACACACACACACACACACACAGAGAGAGAGAGAGAGAGAGAGAGAGAGAGAGAGAGAGAGAGAGAGAGAGAGAGAGAGAGAG